AAAAAAAAAAAAAAAAAAAAAAAAAAAAGTTACCAAAAAAAAAAATAGTGATAATTTTATTCGCAGCAAGGGAATAAAAAAGGAGAAAAAGGATTGGTTAAGCGGTGGGACGAAGAATGCGGAGGAACACGGAGGAACACGCCGTGCCCAACTCACTATGCCTAAAATTTGTTGAACTGGTCCCGGTCGAATTTGAGAGCTGGCCGCTTCCACGCCCACAAAATGAAGTGCTCATTGTGGGTTAAATATCTCTTATTGTTCTCTAGCTTGGCCTAAAGGGAAAAATGAAAAATAAGTGCACACCGGCAGAGTACGGATGTGATTGTCCAGCAGTATGTAATAGCGTATGGCAGTACAGCTGCGGCTCCGTAAGAATGTGCAGGGGGAAATTTTGCTAAGGATTCTCCCCACGTGCACACCTGCATACATATATGCACACATACACATAGCAACAATATTGTAACTTCCGAAATTAAACATAAGGCAAGTTTTTTTTTTTTTTTTTTTTTTGTGTTTGTCTCTTCATTTCGTACCTTCACACACTTATCCTGAATCAGATTATTTATTAAATTAAAATATGTTCTTTTTACCTTTTTTGTGGACTTAAAAAAAAAAAAAAAAAAGGAAAGATATGCACCTGTGCGTGTTCTCATATGTCGCTGCGATTCTATGCGCATTTTGCGTGAACGTCGGGTGCTGGCCAGCACTTATGGCAATTCACCCCTCCACTTTGACACAGGTATGTGTACATGTACACACGTGCGTCTATCCCTCTTGCTGCTTACATTAATGACCACGTGCTCAAACTTTTTTAAATACCTATAAACAAAATTAAGAGCATCAAATGGGTGACGTGGAGAAGCGGCGGTGGCTTGTGTGGCTGCTGCAGAACGACGCCAGCGAAGGACACGTGCGACGTTGCCCCCCTGGCAGGTGCACACCTATCTGTCCTTACCAGGCCAAAACCTCCGTGTCTGTGCATTTTGCCCCCTTTATATGCGATATGTAGTAACAAGTAAAGAAGGCAAAATGGACGTACTTCTCATACTCCAGAGTGTAATTTTTGTCCTGCGTTTTTTGTTGTCAGGGAAAGGGACAAATGTGACATGCGAATGAGTAGTATACATTAATGCGGGTAACGCATACAGGGCGGTTAACAGTGGGGTTATGCGAGGCGCCTACTGGCTGCGCGCAAAGACTCGTGGTCCCGTTAGCCACGTCCTCGTCCACATCTTTTGCGGTCTACCTCTATGAGGGAATTCTTCGAGTACCCACTGTATGTGTACTCATTCCCGTCAAAGGCTATGTCGACATTCATCTTCTCGTGGAACAGAAAAAGAAAAAAATGAAATTATCACTGTCGGCTAAAACGCCGTGTGTGCATGGGTACTCTCCTGCTTATGTGCCCAGGAAGCGCGCACAGAAATTACGCATATAGCGATGCACACATTTGTACATGCACGTAAACTTGCGCGCGTGTGTCAGGCCTGCAAAAAGGGCGAAGCTTTCGCTCGGCTGGCAAAGGGTCAGCTTCGCAAGTTGGCGAGCGATGTGGTGGGAATGGATGCGCTGGGACACGTTTTGTTCACTCCGCCTTTTTTTACTCCCTTTTGTTGCACTTCTCTGTGCACTTCTTTTTGCGCCTCTTTTTGCGCCTCTGTTTGCGCCCCCTTTTTTTTTTTTTGTGTGGCCCCCTTATTCACTCCGCCTTGGGCGCGCCGTTTCGCTCCTTCATTCCAAACATCAAGACATTTCTCTCCTTTTTTTTTTTTCTGTTCCTCTTGTTTTTTTTCCGCATACGCTGGTCAAAGATGTAAAGAAAATAATACAAATGCAGAAAGGCGTGCACACTCTTCTGGTATATCTTCTTTATACACAGGCTGGTTAAGGAGTACAGTTTCCCGGCGATCATTTTCCCCCAGTTGCTCTAGCGCTCGTGGCATTACACAGGTTGCGCTGCCTCGAATAGGGTTACACTCGTTTGTAATCTGTTGAACCACCACACGCTTCTTCTCAGCCCTATGTGCCTTTACACGCACGCTTGCGCTTGTTGGTGCTCGTATGTTTTTACCCCTTTTTTTTTTTTTTTATTATTCGTGTGTTGCCCCTGTTTGATCTTGTTTCTATCTCAACGAATGAAAGATTGGTCAGCGGATTAGCCGTTTGGTCAACGGGTTGGCCAATTCGTGT